AGCATTGTGTACAACCCGTTGCCAGCGATGTGGAAGTTGTAGGATACCTTTAGCAGCGCCTATTGTGTTGATAGTTCGAATGGAGTGGTCTACTGCCTGAAGAATCTCTGGAACAGTTCTGAAGCGAATGCCACGAAGTGGTTCCTTTATCTTAGGAATCAAGTCAAAGTCACAAGGGCTTAAGTTTGGGGAGTATGGTGGATGGTACAGCACTTCCCAGCCCCATCGATCGAACAAACCAGCCACAGCTTGTGCTGCATGTGGCCGAGCATTGTCCTGCAAAATGATGGGTGGGTTCTGCAGAAAGTGTCGCCGCTTCTTTCTCAAAGCTGGTTGCAGGTTGTGTTCCAAAAATGAACAGTAATACTGCGCACTCATGGTCTACTGTTGGGGAATGGTATGCGTTAGGATAACACCATCACAGTCGTACATGAGAATCACCATAACTTTCACATTGCTGGGGTTCTGACGAACTTTTCATTTTCGTGGTCACCCATAATGACGCCATTTGTTTGATTGGCGTTTCATTTGTGGCTCGTACGATTTGGCCCATGTCTCATCCAGNTTTTTCTCATGCCCAGGTGTTCCTTCAGAATGTGAAGCACAGTCATATGCGCTAATCCTGTCTCTTGGGCCAGCTCACGCATCGTATGGCGTTGATCACTCCCCAGTAACGCGGAAAGAGCATACACTTCTTCTTCAGTGACACTAGGATGACCTGGCTGATGCAAGTCTGCCACATTTTGGCGTCCCTTGTTGAAGGCTTTTACCCACCTTGCCACTGTTCTGTAAGGCAATTCAGATTCCCTGCAAGCCTCTTGAAGACCTTGATGACACTGTCATGCTCTATGGCCTCTGGCACATTCAATCTTTATCCAACTCCGTTGTTCATGTTTTGAAAACTTTGTGACAACACTACATTAGACCGCCAGCTAACATGAGGCTCTGTTCTTCTCGTCAGTGCGCATGCTCGTGATGTGGGAAGCGAGAGTCCATTTGCTCTGAGGTAAGGTAGGTATGTATCTAACGTGTGGTATAAGCGACATTATTTGGTTCTGCTGCATGGCGTCTCTACAGCAGTGTTGCCAGTATTAAAGTTCCAACCCTCGTAGTTGCCTTGATGACACTGAAACTACTGGGGAGAAAGCATTGGTGACATATTTCAAGGTACTGTCCTGGCATGCATCTGGAGTAATGAGGTAGATCGCTATAATGACCTCAGTCAAGATAGTCAGTATCCTGACAAAAATTCAAGCAAAGCACTTCCCAACTACACTTCAGAAACAATATAACTTGAGGTTGAGCCAGTTCCTCCTACCATCCACAAACCTCACCCCTACAACAGTTGATTACATTGTAGTTCTATTGTAGTCCAGTCATTTGGTGTTATGTTTTGTACGTGGGGCAATCCAAAAGTTTTGGAAATTTGAATTTTGCGTGCGAATGGTTATGAGTACATCGAAATACCGCTAGGTGTCTCCTCACACATCCTTCTTGAATCAGTGTGGCAAGCGGCGTTGAGTTGAGTGGTTGGGTTTATTGTTGGTGAACATATTTCCATTGTTGTGTTTCTGTGAGTTTGCGGTTTTGCGATGGCTGACCTGAGAGAGCAGCGTGTCTGTATAAAGTTTTGTTTCAAACTTGGGAAAACCGCTGCAGAAACGCATCAAATGTTGAAGCAAGCTTTTGGTGAAAACAGTTTAGGCCAGACACAAACTTACAACTGGTATAAGTGTTTTAAAAATGGCCGAACATTGACTGATGATGACGATCGTTTGGGATGGCCGTTAACTGGCACCACGCCAGAAAATGTTGCAAAAGTTAGGGATCTGATTCTGCAAGATAGTAGACTGACCACCCAAGACCTCTGTAACACCTTGGGACTAAGTTATGGTACATATCAACGAATTCTGTCAGAGGAACTGAACATGAGGAGGATTGCGGCGAAGTTTGTGCCATGACTGCTGCAAAATGAACAGAAGCAGCATCGCTTGGAAGTCTGCAGGGAACTTCAGCAACAGCTTCAAGAGGATCCAAACTTTCTTTCGAGGGTTGTCACTGGTGACCAAAGTTAGGTTTATGGCTACGACCCTGAAAGCAAGCAGCAATCGTCGCGATGGAAGAGCCCTTCTTCACCTCGGCCAAAAAAGGCTCGACAAGTCAAGAGCAACATGAAGTCCATGTTGATCTGTTTTTTCTTTATATTGACGGGATTGTTCCCTCCTGGTCAGACAGTCAATAAAGAGTTCTATCGCGATGTTCTAAGGCGTTTGAGGGAGGACATGAGAAAACGTCCAGAGAAGTGGCGCACGAACGACTGGGTACTGCACCATGACAACGCACGACCGCATAGGCTTACGGTGTGCAGGAATTTTTGGCTAAAAACAAGATGGCAGTTGTTCCCCACCCACCGTACTCGCCAGACTTAGCTCAATGCGACTTCTTTCTCTTCCCCAAGATGAAAATCAAGTTGAAGGGGCGAAGATTTGATGCAGTTGAGGAAATTCAAGTGGAAACGCAGACGGTACTAAACACCCTAACAAAGAAAGACTTCCAGGATGCATTTGAAAAGTGGCAGAAACGCTGGGATCAGTGTATGCGCTCACAAGGGGACTACTTTGAAGGTGATGGTGCAGAATACGATCTAGGTAAGATGTAATAGTTTTTATTAGTATATTTCGGGAACTTTTGGATTGCACCACGTACTTATACCAGTGTGAGCCCTTGTGCAGGCCAAGGCTGTATAGAGACTAATTCAGACAGCGAGACCTTTTGTTAGGTGTAAAGATTGGGGAAGACTGTAAGAGAGACAAAGCTAGCAAGGCAGCTGTCCATCTAACTCACTCTGCCACCTGCTGAGTCCTGTCTTCATTATTTTGTTTCTTTACATCAAACGCCAGGGCTTTCATGAAAGAAAAATGAACAATGGCCACTAGATTGCATGTGAAAAAAATGTTCCATTTGAAATGAGGCACTTTGGATTAGAGAGTCATAAACCCACTAAGAAAGAGTACAGGTTAGGAGTTATTCTGATAGACATTGCTCTAAATTGTTGCATCCTATAGTATGAGTAAAATTAGGATTAAATTCCATCAAATGCTTAATAGCAGAATAAAGTCTTTTCATGTGTTGGCCAGTGGTGGTAATCATTGGAAAGTGACCAACACTTCGAAGGAAATGCTTAACATGTATTACATGCATGTATTGTTTTGTGAGATATGTTTGTTAAAAGTAATTAAATAAATTTGTCACTTTCTGGTGATCGTCATGATTCACCAGAACACGTAAAGGCTTCATTTTTATCATTAAAAAATATTGTTGCATTTGATGGAATTTAATCCTAATTTTAATTATGGGTTAGGAATTTTTTCCCCTGTTAGGTTCATAGTCATTCATATTATTGTTGTATGTTATGATTATCAGAGTTCTGATAAACGTATTCTCAGAATGAAGCATAGGCTGTGTTACTAACTGTAATATCAGATGTTGAGGGACCTGTGCTCTGTGCTCTGTTGGAGGAACCATAATTTCAACACATCACAAGAAGGTACAAAAGCATTTACTACCACAGATGATGACACAGTTCATAGCCCTGGTCAGGCCATCTACGATTTATGGTGGACAAAGTGGCACTGGGACAAGTTTTCTCTTAGATTCTAAATGCAAATAGTTCTGACGATGGTGTATAATACTCAGAATTACGAGTACTGGGTTGTTGGACTTCGTCTATTGTCCTATATTCTAAAAAGTAGAGAACAACGTTTGTGAAACTGGATCTTTTTCTATCCTCAGGTGAGGAGGGTGACACCTACTCTGTTTGGTCGCTTAGAAATAGCTCAGTCACTGCATCAGTGATTGAGGTTTCCCTCCTCAGTTGAGGGGAGAGACACCTACTCTGTTGGGTCGCTTAGAAAGAGCTAACCTGAATCACTGGATGCAGTGATTGAGCTCTTTCTAAGTGACCCAACACAGTAGGTTTGTGTCTCCCTCATCTGAGGACGGAAACAGATCCAGTTTCTGAAACGTTTTGTCTAGTTTTTAGGATACCAGGTGAAGGAGAAAGTCCAGAAACCCACTACTTCTGAAGTTTTCTCTTGAATACTTCAGTATCCCCATATCAGTTATCGTTTACCATTTTCTTATTAATCATCCTATCATTGACACACTATATATAATCTTATTACTTACAGTGTTGTTAAATAACAAACTTAAGAAAGCAGTTCAAAGCAAATATATGGTACAGTTCTATTAAAATATTTGTTTGATTAATTTACCCATGTTTAGAAGAATTGGCAGTCGATACATCTGAAAATAAACCAAAATACTTTTAAATGAACACAAAATTGCCCCTTATATAAAAACCGAATATTTCTAACGTTTGTATACAAATAGTGAATTCATTCTTAATAATCCTGCTTTAATTTTGAGACGATGGCTTTAAAATATGTTAAATACAAACTACTTTTTGATACTGAGCATTCAGCATTATATAATCTTAACACTGAGAGCTTCATTAAATAACCACCTTAAAAAATAACACTGACCACCTTATGGTGTTTGAAATGAAAGTTTAACCAGTGGTCTGCAAGAATGATTAAGTAAATACCTCACATGCTAATGGTGAATGGCAGAATTTGTATTTGGAAGGATAAATATTTATTTCATATATTTTTATTTCAGTTTTATGGTAATTGAACACTTTTTTCTGTGTGTTGTAATATAGGAAGTAAAATCATTCCAAGAATTTATTCTCCCATCTTGTGTCCTGATTTTGAGTTAGTACCCAGAAATTCAAGTCTGTGTATCCTATAATGTATCTAGAAATAGGAATCACAAGGATTTATTGTCTGTCACAAGGAAACATATCTGACATGACCACAAATTTTCAGGGAGCCTGTAACCTACCCCAGCACCATAATGATATAATACTATTTTATGACTTCTGAGAAAATATAATATAGATTATAATGTATTAACACATTTGCATATAACTTTCTCAGATGAACGGTATCGTCTTCTGTCCTCGATACCACTCAGCTGGTTCCTCATCTCAAGCTTCGGTGTCCTTGTGATTTCCAGCAGATTAGGAAGGTGACACCAATGAGGAATGTAGGACTGTAGCACTTCAAATAGAATGCTTCGTACGGTATGTGAGTAAATTGTTGTTTAATTTAAAGATGTATATAGAAGAAGTTCTGGCAAGAAGCAGTTTCATGATCTTGCAGATAAGGCTTGTTACATTAATCTTATGAAGACTTTGTTATAAGTGTCTGAAAAATTTATTATTATCACTTTCATGTTTTTAAAGTAACAGAAGTGTTTGCAGTAATTGGTTACATTACTGAATATGAGGGATGCATGATTGTGTGAATAACTTATTATTAAGCTAATATGGGTTAATTAAACATGAATTAATTATAAAAGAATTGGAAATGTATTCATTATTAAAATAATGAGTGGAAAGTTTCACACTGAATAATGTTGTAACTTGAATGAATGAGAGGTCGGCCTTTGGCCAATTCACTGCAACCATCAACAATCTATTGTGCATTATTATTGTAACTTGGTATTCATCCAATGTTATGTCTAGGTAGTGCTGTTTTTGAATAAACACATTGACCAATCTGTGCTGAAGCAAATGCAGGGCAAGGTCATATGTATTTCTAAAATCCAATTGATTTCACAAAGAACTGCACAACTCAGGAAACAGTGGCGAGTTACTAAGAGTAAGGAACCATACTTGTCTGTTAACAAAATGGAATATGGTAGGTCAGTTTGATTTGCTGACTGGTATAAATACCCCAGAAAACTGATAGATGTATTACAGCGTTCCATATATAATGCCTCCTATTTTTTTAAAAGAAAACTACAACAGATACAGAAAGCATAATAATGCAGTTAAATAGAGTAAGATTTCAGCTACTTACAGTTATTTTTCCACATGATCACCACCATTCGTTATGCACTTTTGCCAGCGATTAACAGGAGCCTGTATGCTGCGCCCGTAAAAGTCTGCGCCAGCAGAGGCTAGCCACTTTCTTACAGCTGCAATGACAGCATCGTTGTCTGGAAAGTGTTGCCCACGTAGTCCATCTTTCTTAGGCCCAAAGAGATGGAAGTCTGAAGGTGCTAAACCGGGGCTGTAAGGTGGATGTGGTAGGACAGTCCAGCCAAACTTGTATGGGGTCTAGAGTTATCGTGTTGCAAGCAAAAGGTTGCTTCTTTGGCCTGACTCAGGAAATGTGGGCTTTCAGCTTAGTCAGTGTCATTTTGTATTGTTCAGAATTGACAGTCCCTGGTCATTATCTGCTGATTTGTTTGGATGAGGCGCTGTTCATTGTGAGGAGTGGCAGCTGAGCAGGGACGCCCATGGCGTGGCTTGTCATGCACTTCACTTTCGCCACTGTTGAAACGCACTACCCACTGAATCACTGTGCTGACATCCACTGTATTGTCTCCATACACCTTTAGCAAGTGTCGATGGATGTCAGTGGGTACAATTTGTTCGGCAGTGAGAAATTTAATAACACATCTGTGTTTCATACGCACTTCTATGTCAGACACCGTTTTGGTAGACTACTCTGCTGTCGCTACCTGTCGCATGACAACCAAACTAACAGTACATTGGGGGGAAGGTTCAACCTTTACTACAACACCACCAACATCCATCTCAGACGTTACATATTAACACAAAAAAATAGGAAGCATTTTTATGGAACGCCCCTAGTAATTTCAATTTCAATTTATTTAACATTCTATAGATCCACAGTACACATAAGATATACATGTCAAAATAGTACTTAATATACAGAATAAATAAAACAAAATAAATGAATAGAATAAAATGAAATAAAATATGTTGAATCAGATAGTTGATCCCAGTGAATACATAATACTTAATACTGTTAGAATTTACTATGAATTAACAATAGAAACATTTCAACCAATAACTAGTCAAATATCCGACTACAAGCAAATCATAACATAGTACTCCTAAAATGCCATAAGTGTGACAGTATAGAGCTTGATACTAGCTTTTGACTAGTCACTAACTTGTGCAGGTTTTATGTTGAAAACATTCTTTTATGGAGTAAAAATAATGTATATGGAGAAAATGTTTTAAACAGGTTTTAAATTTCCTAGGATTATGAGATACCTCTTTGATGAGGGGAAGGAGAGTATTGTAGATCCTAATGCCCATATGATGCACTCCCTTTTGGTATACAGTAAATTTTGATATGCCGGTCACGGTAGCCGAGCGGTCTAGGGCATGCACTGTCTTCGCTCGCTCGGAAGCCAGGATCATGGGTTCGAATCCCACTCAGGGCATGGATGTTTGTGTGCGTTTTTCTGTGTTTGTCTACAAGTAGAGGCCTTGCGATGAGCTGATCACTCGCCCAAGGAGTCCTACCATATGTGTAAGATCTAGAAAAACCGAAATGAACGGAGTTCATGGAGGTAGGCCCAGGCCCACTGGGGCTGTAGTGCCAAGGGAAAAAAAAATTTTGATATAGGCTGATAGAAATTATTGGATTGTCTTGTACTTATATTGTGATTTTCAGAATTTAAAATAAAAAGATTTTTATTGTTAACCATGAAAAGCATGAGTGAAATAATATGCTGTGATGCAAAAGGTAAAATCTCCAACTTTCTGAACAAATTCCTACATGAAACCCTACTATTGCAGCTGATCATGATTCCGAATATCTTTTTTTGCATTATAAATATTTTTGAACTTTGGGGTGAGTTTCCCCAAATATATAAACCATAGCTCATAATTGTGTTAAAAAAGGAATAGTAAATAGTTTTCAAGGTATTGAGAGTCATGTATGATTTAATACTCCTCATTATATAACATGCTGAGCTGTTTTGGGATAGTACATTCAACATTACTACTCCGGTTTATTGAATCATTTATATATATACCAAGGAACTTTATATTAGACAAGGTTGTTGTTGGATAATTATTACAAACAATGTTTATATCAGTTGTGGATTTGTTTCTAGTTTTAAATTGAATATAATGGATTTTATTAACGTTTAATGAAAGTAAATTTGTTCTGAACCATTTATATACACAATTAAAGGCGTTAACCATATTATTTTGAAAATCCTTTAACTTACAGCCTTTAACTAATATACTTGTATCATCAGCAAATAATATAGGTATAGTATTATCATTTACAATTTTAGGCAAACCATTAATATAAATACGAAACAACAGTGGGCCCAAGACTGAACCCTGGAGAACGCTGTCAGTTATATTTCCCCATGTAGAAAAGCTTGTTTGCTTTATTTCTTCTTCCAAAATCTGAATCCTCTGATATCTGTCATTAAGATATGATTCAAACCATGATTTAGCTTTACCATTAATACCATAAAATTGTAGTTTAGACAACAAAATATCATGGTTCAGACAATCAAATGCCTTTTCAAGATCAAAAAATATACCACCTACTGCAGAATTACTATATAAAGCTTGCAGTGTTTCATTAATTAGCTTATATAAGACATTTCCTGTTGAAGAGTCTGGTCTAAACCCAAACTGTTCATCTGATAAGATACTACGTATATTTCTTCAAATGCTCCTGGAGTTGATTGTACATGACTTTTTCAATCACTTTTGAAAAGGAACTTAACATAGATATAGGTCTGTAGTTGGAAATGCTAGACCTATCACCCTTCTTAAATAAGGGTTTAACTACTGCATATTTCAAACGATCTGGAAAAATTCCTAAAGATATCAGTTTCTTACATACAAGTATATAAGTTAAAGGTGAACTAATAAAAGACAGCTTATTTTTAATAATTTGGTAGATATTCCATCATATCCAGAGAAATTTTTGGATTTAAGGGCTTTTAATATATTTCAACTTCTTTGGAGGATAAAAATTTTAGATTAATATTTGGGAAAGGAGTCTTGAAAGACTGCAGTAAATAATGAAGAGGAGTAGTATTATCTAACTATGAGAGCTAGGTTCATTATGTTTCATGTTAATATTTTTAGCTATGGATAAGAAACATTTATTAAATTAATTTGCTATCTCTTGAGGGTTGCAAACTGGAGTCCCTTCAATATTTAAAGTGATAGCCTTTTCAGTATTTCCAGTTTTATTGGATTCTAATTTAACTATGTCCCAAATAGTTTTATTTTTTGTTCAGGGATTTATTAATTTTGTCTGCATAATTAAGTTTTTTTGCTTCCTTTACAATGGCAGATAAAATTTTGCAGTACTTTTTATAATAATTTATGAGATCTAGATTATCACTATTCCTACACACTATGAAGAGTTCTCTTTTATGTTTGCAAGAAGTTAAAATTCCTAAGGTAATCCAGTTATTATTATTATTTTTTTGCAATGAGGACTCACTTTAGAGGAAAATTAGAATAAAAGATTTTCAAATAGGAGTCTAGAAAGGAGTTAAAAATTTCATTAACGTTATCTGTAGAGAAAACATCCCAAGTTTCATAGCTTAATTTAAGAAGAAAATAATTTATACACAGAGATACTGGGTTTTTGGACTTTGTTCATTGTCCAGATTCTAAATCACTAAAAACACAACGTTTCAGAAACTGGATTTGTTTCCATCCTCAGGTGAGGGAAGACACCTACTTTGTTGGGTCTCTTAGAAAGAGCTAGCCTCAATCACTGGATTGATTTCTAAGGGGCCCAACAGAGTATGTGTCTTCCCTCACCTGAGGACGGAAACAGATCCAGTTTCTGAAATGTTGTGTTTTTAGTTATTTAGAATCTGGACGATGGACAAAGTCTGAAAACCCAGTATCTCTGTGTGTTATACACCATTGTCAGAACCCTATATATAGTATCTACACCATTTATTGTAAGTTCATTAATCTTTCTAATCAACATATGTTTTTTGATGGGTGGTCTTAAACTAAAAGAATAAAATGTAATCTGAGCATCATGGTCTGACAGCCCATTAATTATTGGAGTTATAGAATAATTACCAGCCTTGGTAATGTCAATAAAGATATTGTCTATGGCTGTAGCAGAATTATGTTGAGTGTGGGCAGGGAAGGTGACTACACTAGTTAGGTTGTAGGTTTTAAGCAAAGCTTCTAATTGACTTTTTCTATCACTGTCAACTAGGCAATTTATATTTATGTCACCACAAATAATAAAGTCAACGGTAATTGTAAATAGTTTTTTGAGGATTGTGTCTAATTTTATAATAAAAGTATCAAAGTTGCCTGATGGTGCTCTATATATAGCAATTATACATATCTTTTTTGTATTCAGGTATATTTTGATTGCACAGACTTCAAAATCCTTGTCCCTATTTCAAGGTCGATGCTTACATACCTTAGCTTTTCATGTACTAATATACAAACCCCTCCCTTTTCATATGATGTTCTACAGTAGCCAGCCCCTAATCTATAACTGTGTAGAAAAATTTATTGCAGTTCTAGGTATTTCATGCGTTGCTCGGAGAGACACAGTACATGTGGGAAAGTCAGATACAATTGACTTAGCAGTTCATTTACTTTCCCTCTCAAGCCTCTTACATTTTGGTGATAAACAGTTAAGGGTACTGATCCTTTTAATTGATGAAGTGGTTTATTTTGAAATTTGGTGTAACCACTGCTAGTGAATAAGTTTTTTTCTCTACAACTGTTTGCACATATCAATCAATTTCATCTTGAGTACTATCCAGTAAATGGAGCTCTTCTCTAAGTATGAAAGTTTATGCTGTTCAGTTTTAGACAGTGTATTCTGTTCAGTTATTCATGAGTTGAATACACTACTTATTTCTGTATAATTAACCTATTGGTATGCTTGTTCCACAAGTTGACTTGTCCTATATCATGTACAATGATCCATGGATATGATATGAAATAAATAAATAAATAAGTAATAGCTTATCATCTACCTTCCATTAC